ACACTTGGCCCACACTGGCCACCAGTAATGAGAAAATTATTCTGGGGCCACCAACTCCTGTTAGACATCAGAAATAATTTGTGTTTGGTGTGACGATCCTTGTGAATCTCAGAACTGATCTTGGCGCTCTTTAAGGCCTACAACCGAATTCAATCCTGCCGGTCCGTCCAACCGAAGTGTCCACTTGAAAGAAAGAAAGGATCAGCTCCAAGCCTCTCCTGCTTTAGAAGGCCATAACTCTCACTTCCTGCCCTATAGGATCAGCTCCAAGCCTCTCCTGCTTTAGAAGGCCATAACTCTCACTTCCTGCCCTATAGGATCGGCTCCAAACATTTCCTGCTGACCCCCCCGAATTCTAAGCATTTTCAATCATATGAGCTGTATGCATTTCATCAATTATTCCACGGTGTGGGATACATCAGGAATAATTTATCCACATGTATGTGCATGACCCTGGAATAATAAGAAAATTATTCCAGGGTACCACCCACATGGTCCTCGCACAAGGGACCAGCCATCTATTTGTCAAAAAGGTCCCACTGCTTTTCAAAAGCTCGAGTCGGTGATAGGTTCCAGAAGAATTGCAAAGTGATTGTGAATCGATCAGCAACTGCGAACCTGAATGGCCAAGGAGAATTTGGATTGGGACGAGGTTCGAGATCGCAATGAGGCAGACTCTTCACCCTTGAAGGTGTGCTTGCTCCAGGAGCTGGCTGATCATACAAGTGGCTGGATTATATAGATGACTGGTCAGTACGTCGGCAAGTTCTTCAACTAGTAAGTTTCAGCATGTTTCAGCAAAATTAAGTAAGTCAATGGCCAATGCAATCCTTGGAGGCAAGGCATTCATACCTGGAAACATCGGCACGTTTTAAACACTTGCGCCGTGGCACCGTAGCGCCATGTCCAGCTGAAGGAGATTGAGAGGTACAACGTCCTCTTATCCAGCATCCGCTCTTCGGTCAAGACTTTGCAGAAAGGAATCCAAGGCCACACAAGTTCTGTTTGATTGCACTTTTGAAAGCCGATCGTTCATCTTTGTATTCTAGATGCCAGTGGCACATGCGAAGCTTCAACTTGTGTTTGCAGTTTGCCTGCCTGCAGGCTTTGTGGTAATCAGCAAGGAACAAGAAGCCGTGCTCAACTCGTTCTTTGACTTTAATGAATTCATCCAACCGTCTTCACAAGCGGCATGATATAGCTGATAGTCCAGATAGGCGTCATAGGCAGTGCACTTGCAATCAAGGCTTTATGCGGGCGCGGTGCCTGCATCTTGGCTTTTTGCATACCCTAGCAGCTTGGTTTGGCGCGAGTGGGTCAAAGTGCAGCTATACCACAAGTTGATTTGAGTTCTCAGCAACGAAACAGCAGTGAACAGGCAAATCTGTGCTAGTTTGAAGAGCCTAAGGAAACAGAGGTACTGCCGAACTTTGGGATTGGGTTCCTTCACACGCTGATTGATGTCCACCATTCCCGATGGATCATGTGAGGCTTGAAACCACTGAGCAGCTGGATGCCTGATCTGGCAGATCGAATTGAGCAGCTGAACACCTGGGGTTTCGTAGGACTGAGCTGATGTGTCAATTGATAATGTTCTTGATTGGCCTAGAATGGGTTCAACAAGGAGCTGGGGCTTGCAGTTGGACTTCAATGTTTGAAATGGTGAGTTCACGACTAAATCTGGGACAATTAAAGAACCATTCAAAATTAATCCCTTTAGACGTTTTGTGGATTCAGAAGATGCAGCTCCATCAAAACCTTAAGAGCTTCACCAGGAGTGCCAAAGGTGCTTTGGCTAGGTGGCTTGACTTACCCCACGAGTTTGCTCACAGCGGTGCTGCAACAGCGCTTTGGATTCAAAAGTTAGGACGTGCAAAGTCTTTGTTTGCCTTTCAAAACAGAAACTTCTGCCTGGCAACACCAAACAAATGATCAGACACCCTCAAGCGTCGTTGTCCAACAAAAGAGAACTCTCTTGGGGTTGGAACCTGCTTTGATGACTTGAGACAAGATAGGCATCTCATCCCAATCAAGAAAAAGTAGGTAATCGTCTATTGTCAATCCTTAGCATTATCCTTGAAATGTGGCCCGCTCCAGGTCTGCTCGAAAGAACATGGTGCCTTGGAAGAGTCAGATCACTTTGAGAGCCTACCATGGACAAGCAGGATTAGTTTGATGATAAATGTTGGTTCTGTGGGCTCTCGTCCTAAATTACAAGCCACCTTGCTTGTAGCAAAACCACTTGGAAGGAAAGAAGAAGTAACTTAAGTACTGGATTGCATTTCGACACATTTCCACCAAGTTCATGCACTCACAACAAACTGCGAGGTTTCAGTCGACACCCTCTCATTCGACTTCGTCGTGTTGAACCAGGCCTTCTTTTCAAGATAGCATGATTACTCGCACAGACTTGGTGACACCTGTTTCTCCAATACGAGAGCACGATCAAAGATGTAGAGCTGCTGAGAAAATGTGGTGTCCATTGCTGCAAGTGCCACAGCAGTCTGCTTGACACGTCCTCACCTTCCAGGAAGAGTCCAGCATCACCTCACTTCCAAAGGAGGGAGCCTACATCAAAGGCGGATAGGCTGCAAACAGAGCCCTTGTCTGGCTTCAATAAAGGATCACCTGCTTCAAGCTTGCTCAAAGGTCTTAAAAGTTGTGTGTATCATGAAATGTTTATGCCTGATGTTAACCTGTTTTTTGCAAGCACTTTTGGATAAGCTTCCAAGCAGGCACCACTACACACAAAAATTGTTTGCGTGTCAAACATTGTGGCATAGAAATTGTGGAATGGAGAGCAAGTCAACTGCTGATCAAGACGACATGAGACTTTCGCCCTTCCCGCACTTGGTGTGCAGCGATAGCTGACAGGCCTTGCAAGACCTTTTGTTCTAGTGCATTGTCATTGACTCGCTCATAAGGTCATGTTGTCACGCTACTGAAGAGCTACAGCCCTGCATACCATGTTCAAGGAACGAATTGTAGGCTTCCCAAACGGTCAAGGATCACTCCCTCCATTCTCAAGTGTTTCGATGCTTTCAGCCAAGGTATGATTCTGGAAGGAGAAGAGATGTCAGATACATTCTGAGATGCATACCAGCGGTCACCAGTGGTCACGCCCAGGGGCTTTATATGGTTTGATTGGGAATGGTGTCAGACTTTCCCGCATTGCCGTGGCTTCACCAGGCTTTTGGATTCGTTGCAAATCCTTTGGAACCGTTTGACAATTTCTTCCGCTGTAGGAGCCAAGTGGGATTCGAACGCTGGATGCCTTGCAGATGCTGACACCATGGCGCTCTTCAATCCAATGCCCATGGTCTTTCACCTCAGTTTTCAGCATAGAATATAGAAGTTGGAACAAATTTGATGTACAACAGTATAACATTCACCAATGTATGTTATACATCAATCTTGTTTCATGTTATACATCACCGATGTAAGATCTGCGGATTTCATGGTATTAAAGATTCTCAGCGAAGGAGTATTGAGCATTCCGCTATCCAGGTCCATTTCAAGCCGGTAGTTCGCAAGAAGGCCAGGTTCTCAAAGCTTAAGCATGCTTGACAACGGTCAGGTTCGGCAAGTGCACTATCATTTGTAGGAGTATCAGATGGCAACAGTTTGAGCGCTTTGTGTGGCATAGCCGGAAGTTCAAGGCATCCACCGAAGGCATCTACCAGTGCCCGCTATACCTCTACCCAATCAGGACGCAAGCTCAGATCTCCTCTTGAGTCACTCAGCCGTCCCAGTCCTGTCCAAAAAATCAAAAGTCGATGTGCTTCGTCAGGACCGGCACTCGTGAACGACCTTCCTTCATGATCTGGGTGGACTTGAGGCAACGCTCTGACCGTAGCGACTTAAGCATCAGAGCATCAGCAGTGATTTGAAATTTGAACTGTTGAGACTTTTGAGTGTTGTCGTTGCGTGTTGCTCAATATGTTCATCTCCTTGGAGCCTCTAACACAGACCCGCATGGGATCATGTATGATGAGTTATATAATGTTATATATATATATGTAATGAATTCCAACAGGTTGCAAATCAAAACGGAAAACGACCGGCAAATCCTCAAAGTCAAAGTTGTACGCAATGCCCAGGGCTGGCAACTTCTCAGCAGACCAGTGGACCAAGCGGGGCACGGCTTTGCTGCTCTCTGCTCTTCGGAGATACGGTACAGAGGGCGTTCTGTTCCACTAGAATCACCACTGTCTTGGACTCTGGAGGGCATGGGTCTTTTTGTTGCAAGGCTGTCAGGCATTCTAAAGTTGTGCTGATGCCCAAGTTTGCCCCAATTATGGTTTTGAGAGCCAGCGTGGTATTGAGCTGAGGTTGCAACCTGAGAATGCGAAATTTGAAATTGAATTCGAGTGCAATGCTGCGATTCTGGCCGTCGGCCAACATCGAAACAAAAACATAGTTGCGATATGTTACGACAGATACGACAGTAGTTTTAGCAGTTGTTTGAAAGCGTTTGTTTGGATTCCAGTTTAAGCTGTAGACTTGGAAGCCTCCACCATCAATCACGACCGTCTTTCATGTGTTCTGTGTTTGTGCAGATGTGTTTGTCACTTCATATCGATTGCTGGATATGCAGCCACTTTTTCCCTGCGTGGCGCCAAAGAAGGCCTCGCGTAAGATGCTTCAGGCGATGAATCCAAGGTTTCTGACACCTAGTCATAGCTCGGTTGTGACAGAAGGGGCTCCTCCTCCAACGGGATGTTGATCTATGTTCGCAAAGTTTGACTGGATGCTCATTCAGTCTGCCTTGAAGAACGTGGTGATTATAGCCCCGTGGAGCCCCTAAGGTCTGATTGGAGCCTTGGCCTGTGCTTATCAAGGTGTTGGCTGTAGAGAACTTCCTAGCTCTGGATAAAGTGCAGATGGGCATTGAAGTCATGGAGGTTCTTTGCATCCATTCCCGCTCAGCCTGTCCAGGCTGCAGATGGCCGCAGGTTCTGAATGATATGTCGATAGAATCACATGACATTATGTTTTTGTTGCGTTCATTGCGCTTGATACAAGATCCATTGAAAGGTCATTTGCACAGAGTTAGCGCCACATTTAAACAGAGTTCAGAAGTCCATAGGACTTGAGGAATTCAGCTGCCATTTGGCTTGGCAAATGCATGCTTGCCGATTGCAGTGTTGTATCCGTGATAAGAGGGATATTCTGAAGTCTTTCTTGAGTTTGCTGAGGGCCCTTTTTTGAGCAACATGTTCTGGAAAGTGGCGTGGGAGCATGTCCATCCGTTGGATAGAAACATCACCCACAGAATGTTCTCAGACCTTAAAATGAATGGCAAATACACGTCTGAAGGGCTATGTGCGCTGTGCTGCAGTCAGGAAGCCCCACAGACTCTTCTGGGGTTGCATCAGCCGAAGGAGTCGAAACTGCTCGTTTCAATATGAGATTCCCTCTTCGAAGCTGCAGAAGACTGCCATATAGATGTGAGGTGTGCGAACCCAAAAAAAGCTACTTGAATTTTGTTCCAATTCTGCGAAGAGAGTTCTGGTATATACTTGAATCTACGTCCTCAAGCTGTCCTTAAGTCATGTTGATTGATGCTTGAAGACTTTCAGCACGTACAGCTGCAGGAAGGGAGTGCCACACTGTTTGGCTTGCATGAGCCACCAAGCCGCAGAAAAGTGTGATGAACCCTTTCAGGCCGAAGATATCGACATGTGTGGTCCAAGATGGTTTGAGTGAGAACAGACCCCAATCTCAGGTCGCTTGATGCACATGGCTACCAACGTGTGCTGGAATCCGGCGATCTAGCAAGCATGGAGTCCTTCCTGCAGAGGCACGTCGTAGTTTCATTTGACGTTCCTAGGTCTCCCAATGATTCATTCAAAAAGAGGTTCTTCAAGGACAGGCAGCCAGTTCTTTTCAAACCACCGTCGGAATGTTTGCCCGCAGACTCTTGCAGAGCCACAAGCATGACCTCTTGGAGGCCTTTTGTTCACACTGGAATCTCGTGGTAGAATAGATATTCAACTTTAATCCATGCCAGTCTTCACGGCTCAACAGCACGAGCAAAGAACGCTACTAGGGGCTCCTGGCATCGCTACTAGGAGCAATGACGCTACTAGGAGCTTGGACTGCAAATTTGAATTAACCGTTCTGTCAGATTGTCCCTTGCCTGGCGCAGATGTGCTTCGAGGAGAAGAAGGTGGAAACCCGCTTGAACTTGAAAAAACTGAATGAACGCTTCGGAGAAAAGCATTGTAAAACAAGTGGTTGGCCACCACGTACTTCCAACATGTTTGATAGCAAAGATGACTTTGCAATGCACCGTCCACCCAGGCCTCGTGGCCTCAGCACATATTTTGGGCAAGTCAATACTGCCAACTGCCGCCAGAATAGAAGCGTTCCCTTGCTAGGTCCAACTCCTCAAGCAGCTAGGTCCACTGTATTATGTGTGTTTACTCTGCAGTGTCTCAGGCAAAAGTTAGGATTGATCCATATTGATTCGCTCAAGCTTGCAGATGTCATATCATGTCACGATCAAGCTGGTTGACAAAGCTTCACTCTGAGTGGGCGCTGTCACCAGGACTTTGACGAGGTGCTATCAATCATGGGGCAAGAGAAGCTTCCAGGCTGAGAACGACCAGTGAACAAGTTTCCTGCCAGAGAGCGTTGCCAACATTTCATTCTATTTCTCTATTTGTTGAGTGCATCACAAGTAGTCTGTGTGCTTGGCAAAATGGACCCTGAAGTCGAGCAGCTGTCGGGGCTGTCGCTGCTGCCCTGCCGCCGTTGCTGTACTCGGGGCCTTGAATTTGGTGGTGGGGAGGGAGGTATTGGTGTCGTGGTGGTTGTTTGGTAGTGGTGCTGGAAGTTTCTTGTCATGTTTACATTGCTGTGCCTTTTTGCAAAAGGGCGTAACTTGGTCAATGTCATGCAGCTCTTGTTCAACAGTCGCAGGTTCGGCCTGCTCATTAGGTTTCTCCCTTTTGACCAAAGATTCACAGCCAGCACCTAAGAAGTTTGCAATGCACATAGCCAAAGGCAGAAGTTGCAAGACCTATATAGATCGTTGATGTACTGGAGTTTCAAGTCCCTTTGCCATGATCAAGGACCCATGGCTGCAGCACTATGTCACTTGGAATGGAGCCACAACCACCTGCAGAAGAAGAGGACTTTGCTGTGAAAAGATCCGAAGCAACACTAAAAGCGATGCACTTGTTACTAGTAGCTTCTTGTTTCTAATGGCAAACATTGTTACTACTAGTAAGGCACTTGTTACTAGAAGCGATGCACTTGTTACTAGTAGCTTCTTAAAACTAACAAAGTCTTTGCAAGTATTGTGGAGTGTCCGATGTCTTGCCCCTCGCAAGGAGAGTTCTACGATGCCCTTGCACACATGCTTGCCATTCCAGCCTCTATCTGGCTCAGCAATTTGGTGTAGAGCTTTAAGACAATGTCAGCAAGTGCTTGCAGGCGCATAAGGGTGTCCACATATCCTCCTGCTGTAGAAGGTGATGAGTTTTTTGATAGAATGCACTTTATCCACAAGATATTCTGCACAATAATGCTGGAGAATTGGAGCCAGCAGCCCAGGCTAGTGGAGGCTTCCAGATGACATGGCTCGCAGAACCTGTGCCTTTGGGCCTTTGGCTGGGTGGTAGGCCCTGCGCTCCTTTGACCCTCAGCGGATCATTTTTGTAGCTTTGTTTGTTTGGAAGTTTGTTGTCACTATATCAACCACTACTCAACACCCTGCTAAGGCGAGGCAGTTGTTTCGTTGCACCCTGCGGTGACAATGGCATTGTGGATGTTGTCGCCATTTTCCAGGAGCATGAGGCGAGAACCCAAGGTTTTTGAGTTTCCCAACTGAGCAGTCCGGTACAAAGTTGGTTACATGTTCCGTATTGCAAAATGGATGATGGCTTGGTTTAATTTACAGTAATATTGCAAAATGGGATAAAGGAATCTTGCCATTCCAGGCTGGAGGTCTTGTTATTTGTGATGGAATTGTTCAAACATGTAGTATATGCTTATACTATGTTATATTACTGAATATATAACTATGATACATAAGAGAAGGCCTAAGGCTTTCCACTCGTACAGCTTGTCCTGGGCGCTCCTTTGCCAGGCACGATTCCTGGGCGCTTTTAGCTACTGGGATCCAGGTGTTTTGCTCTCCATCACGCCAAGCCATGGAACTGAGGGTACTGAAGTCCAGGCGCGAAATGTCCAAGTACAATACTTTTTGCGAAAGATGTTCAACAAATGAAGGGTGACACGTTAGACTCAAGTGGAAAAGTATGAAAAAGTACTCAGAATCTCTTTGGACTCCTTTGCACGATGCACGAAAAAGTGGCAAGTGTCCATTGGATCTTCAGCAAGACCAGAATCAGCGTTGCGAGCTGGCCAGGTGATCACGTCAGAGTTGGGCGCAGAGATCTGTCAGGTTAACCTGGGAGGACAAAGGTGCGAGCTGCTGGGCAGGCTCAACGCTGGCTTTCGCCACCAGTCTTCTTAATCATAACCTTAACCTTAATCTTATATAATTTGCGTGTCTTCTTTTTCTCATCCTTTGTTTCTCTTATTGTTGTCTGCTTCTTCTTCTTCTTCTTCTTCTTCTTCTTTTTCTTCTTTTTCTGCTTCGTCTTCTTCTTCTTCTTCTTCTTCTTCTCACTTCTTTTGTGCAGAACCCCTAAACTCTCTAATGTTCCTTTGGTTTCAGCGCTCTTCCGTATTTCGCAGGCCCTGTGGCACGGGGGCTCGCTTCCTCGTTCCTGCAAATTTGGATGGCTTGGTGGAAGTCCAACTCTTGGCGACGAACGGCAACGAGTTGAAGCGAGAGGAGCGATGAAGGTGCTCCTTTGGACACGGTGAACCAACAAGACATGAGAGAAGAAAAAGCAGATTTGGAGAGAAGTCATGTATTTGAGCTGGACCCAGAACCCGAAGAGCCCCAAGGGAAAGGAATGGCAAAGTGGATTGGAAAATTGAAATGTGCGCATCCAAGGGTCTATTCATTTGATTGTGTACATGTTGCACATGATCTGTATGCGTCACCCTCTTCTTTTCTTTGTCATTGTCTCCTTTGTGCATGTAGAAATCCTCCACAACCAACAATTTGCCCCTGCCACCCCAATGCAAGCAGGACTTGCATACTACGTACCATTTCACACACCTCCAGAACTGCACGCATGCCTGCCAGAGCTGTCTTCAGCCACAAATGTTACACTGTAGCGAACTTGTAAACCAGACAGACAGTTGCAGGCTTTTAGAGAATGAGATTAATCCAGCTTTGTAACCCAACAGCAGGTAGCATCTCAATTGACTGGGACTTTTCAGACATTCCAACTATGTGTTGCTAAAGCTCCCAATCCAAACCCAAATCCAATTGTTAAATGCAAAGGGAACTGGGGAGCAGGAGCTGGAGGGCAAGAACTGGAGCAGGAACTGGGGTCCAAAAGCTGAGGGGGAGCAGGAAGAAGGAAAGCGCATCAGAACTTGAAAAACGTTGTTCATGGTGCAAAAGCGTGCTGTTAGGTAAACACGAACATCTGCCGTACTCTTGACCAGAACTAGCCAGGGATTGGGAAACTCCCGTCCCGGGCTCCTTAGTGCCTTAGTTTCTTCATGAGCACCAGCTAGCTAAGTATTACTAAAGAAGGCGTCGTACCGGAGACAGAAAGCACACCACAAGTGAAACAGCACAGACGTCCTGCTAGGTACATGCAACTGCCTTTGGCCTTGCTGCGCATAAAACATGCTTTGCGCTGGGTAGAAAGAGTGCTTCACAACAGAGACATATGGGACAGGAAGTCCGCAGAAGCGTCCTGCTAGGCACTCGCAACTGCCTGCGTCCTTGCCGCAACGCCGTAAGTGACGGCTTCGTAGCAGAGACAGAAGGTGCGCTACAAGTGCACAAGCTGTTGTGGTTGCAGAAACGTCCTGCTAGGTACGCGCAACTGCCTGTGGCCCTGCTGCCTCACTTGTGCTGCGCGTAGAAAGAACACTTTGCAACGGAGACACGCACAACAAGCACCGGCATAAACGCACGTGTTGGAGCACGCTCCGGTCTATGTTTTGTACTGCCCGCAAAGGACGCTTTGCGCTGCAAAGCCGACGCGCGGAACTATAATGCCAGGCATGCCAGGCGCCCGCAATTCATTGTTCATTGCGTTCCTCTAACGCTATTGAACTTAACACACCGAGGCCATCTAACCAACAATCTGCACAGTCAGTCAGTCTGCCTTGCACAGATTCAATTGTTTGCACCACTCACCCCGTCATTGCCCCAAGCTCCCGGCAGCGCCTGGAACCAACAAGTAACTAGGCCCAAGGCAGATCACAGGTCCGAACTGTAACCATAATCAGGGTTCCAGGTGAGTACCGCTCAACTGTTCCAAGACGGCATTCAGACCACAGCGCCTGACAGCAGCCAGGGTTTAAGGCTTGCAGGTTCCAAGCAACATCTTCAACCCAACACCAAAGAGGAGTTCCAAGGTCCAGGTGGCACCTGAGAGGAGTTCTAAGTTCCGGGCGCCGGCGACAAAGCCCGCACTACCCCAAGCCCCAGAGATTGAAACCAAGGTGCATGCTGTTGGGCTTTCATCGCCCCTCCCAGTGCCTCAGCTCAGCGGGGACAGAAAGCACAGCCACCAAACAAGCGCCTCCTTCTTTGTTTCCACGACAGCGCCCAGGGCCCCTTCCGAACACAGAGGCTTCCAAGATGGCAGCACTCAGAGGTTCCAGGGTGGCAGACAGCACAACAGCACCCACGGTTCCAAGCAAGGGTTCCAACACAACACTTCCCAGGGTTCGAGGAACTCATATTTTTTCTAGGATTTTTTTTCGGTTTTTTTTGGGATTTTTTTTCACGTTTAGGCATTAGGTATCTCTGTTGGCTTCTGGTGGCTTCTGGTAGCTTTTGCTAGCTTCTGTTGGCTTTTGCTGGCTTCCGGTGGCTTTTACTGGCTTTTGGTGGCTTTTGTTAAGCCAACAGTTGGCTTCTGTTGGATTTTGGTGGCTTCTGGTGGCTTCTGGTGGCTTTTGGTGGCTTCTGGTGGCTATTTTGTTGGCTTCTGGTGGCTATTTTGTTGGCTTCTGGTGGCTTTTGGTGGCTTCTGGTAGCTTTTGCTAGCTTCTGTTGGCTTTTGCTGGCTTTTGTTGGCTTCTGGTGGCTTCTGGTAGCTTTTGCTAGCTTCTGGCGGCTTTTGCTGGCTTCTGGTGGCTTTTACTCGCTTTTGGTGGCTTTTGTTGGCTTCTGTGGGATTTTGGTGGCTTCTGGTGGCTTTTGTTGGCTTCTGGTGGCTTTTAGTGGCTTCTGGTAGCTGTTGCTCGCTTCTGTTGGTTTTTGCTGGCTTCTGTTGGCTTTTGGTGACTTGTGTTGACTTTCGAAGGCTTCTGTTGGCTTTTGTTGCTTTTTGCTTTTGTGGCTGTTCGCTATCCTTGCTTTGCTTATGTGATGCAGGAAGGAAGAAAGGAAGGAGGGAACGAAGGAAGGAAGGGAGGGAAGGGAAGGAAAGAAAGCAGCAAGAAAGGAAGGAAGGAAAGAAGGTGAGCACTTGCAGGTGGCCAGCTTGCAAAGCTGTGCTGCCTGCAGTGGCCAGTGT